ACGGGTGTGAAATGAGGGAACATTTAAATTTTACACGATTTAACGATTTTCAATGCAACATTAAATTAGTTGACTAACGATTAACACATTTTTCAATATGTTATCTTAACTAATTTCTGGAAGCATTTACTTGTGATTTATACAATTAGTATCAAAATTCCGTCATATCGTATCTTCAAGTGCCACATTTCAGTCAAGCTCTTTGTAACTGCCTCGACTAACTTGGCAGAACGCGCCCTAACCCTCACTGAACCAAAAGGCAACGTTCGAAAGAATGTCCTCGAGCATGACGCAAACATTTTTAGATTTAGAGGTGGCGCAAACGTCTTGAAGTTGGATTCGAATTCGAAAATTTTTGAAAACATTTGCAAGATTCAGAAACATTTGCAGAAATCAGAATAATTGTCCATACAAATCAGAAAAGGTCGAGTCTGATCGATCCGTCATTTGGCGTGGAACTGTTTATTCCAGAGATGTGATTTTGGTTTTATGCTGCCGAAGATGCTGTTTTGAATAGGGCTGTGGAGTCGGATCTTAACACTCCGAACACGATGCCTCCGGTAAAATGTGAAACGGCAAACTTGCAATGTTTGAAAAATTATAGCTCAGCATAACTATTCACAAATTTAAAATCTACTGGCACCATTTGAAACTTCATACTTTAAAGATTTATTCAGAATCAATTGATTTAAAATCGATCGATAAATTGCTGAGCTATAGTTTTGCAAACATCGCCAATTTGCCGTTACACATTTTATCTGAGGTATCGTGTTCGGAGTGTTAATCGACCGACTCCGACTCCGGCTCCACCGCCCTGGTTTAAATAACCATTGTCATGAAGTCAAGTTTCGCGTCCAGATTTTTGATGTCCCTTACCGTATTTGGACGTGCTTTGCTTGTTGTATAGTTTTGAAACTTTGTATTAAGTTCGAGTCATTGCCCTTTGATGCTGCTTGAGTCGTTGTTCATAGATCACATGCAGGAAGCAGAAAGCACAACAATGCATGACGAATCGTCTCTCAGGGTGACCCTGATGCTCCACCCTTAGAAATACCTAATTTTACACGTGACGGAATCCGTCTTTGACATAAAAGATAAACCGTAAACAAACATGTCATGTCATATTACGTGCTCCGAGACTGAAATGTTCGTTGCTCGACGAAAAGTACGTTTGATTAAGCTATATTTCACGTCTGTTATGACTCAAATTTATGCCAAATTTGACGCTCGTATATGTCACTCTCAGAGCACCTAAATTTACATGTTTTTTTTTCTAAGTGTGTATCTACATAGAGAACAATGCCCGTAGTTCCATCTTCTGACTGTAGTCCATCGCTTTATGTCTTGGTTTGAGACCATTAGAGTTTAGAGATTGGACTATTATCCGAATTCTGCCAGTTGGTAAACTTCATCCAGAGACCCAGACGAAAGTTGTTCTCTTATTAGCGAACTTGTGAATGTCCTGGATCCAGGAGTGTTTAGCTTTAGTTGAAGAGCTACTAATACATTGCCAGAATCGGAGAACAATTGATGCTGTATTTAAAATGTATTTATACTTTCTACGATACCCTTGAACGTAAAAATTCCACCATCACTTGATATTGGACTCTCTTTCAATGCCTTCCAATAATTTCTTCACATTAATCTGTTCACAGCACAAGGCTTTTCAATTAATTCACACCTATACAGAAGCAGTCGGGCAACGTGCGTCGAAAAAATGCATCCGAAATCGGATCCTTTGATTGAAGTATCAGTTCACTTCACCATGGCTGGCTGTTTCTTCCTCCGTCAATCCCATCCGATGGTAGGTATTCAACGACTATTTAATTTGATCGATTCGTTCTTTTTATCTCTGTGTCCCCAATCGTGTCCAATCAATATGAATGAGATGATGCGGGGGCTCTGGTAGTTTCAGTTTCAAAGAGATCCCAACTGAAATTTTAATTTGAATTTCAGTCCGGGTGTAAATTTCCGCAAGTCATCAGGTATAACGTTTCAGAGAACTACCACATTGAAGCACAACTCAATGTCCTCTCTTCATTTGTCAAAGCAAAGCTCCCCGGTACCCAACGACGATTTACGGAGCAACCAAACTGTGTCATTGATTTTTTGCTCTCTTGTTTATCTCGCTGAAGAGCCCATTGTATGCACCGTGCACCATCCTTCAACCCACCCTCGAACGAATATGTTGAGTCGGATGTGATGTGCCTCCGTACGCTGCGTGCCGGTTGAACCACGTTCAATTTGTGGTTGCGGGTGACTGTTATCTAAAATGCCTCTCTCGCAGATTCCCCTTCCTATGGCTGGAGATAGCGATGATGACATGGTTTTCCAATCGGTCGGGAGCTCATTCCTACGCACTATGGGACGCTATGGGAACGGAAATGGGATACATTCGTACGGTGTGGTACTTGCAGGATGTGTGCACGTTTCTCCGAAGCGATACAGTGTTTGGTAAAATGACAAATTCAGCTTCCCGGAATTTGTGTCATTACGAAACCACCTGATGTTCCATTGTTAACTTAAATATTTCTGAATTATACTCGGATGGTCTTTCGCGAATCCGTTTATTTGGACATTCCATTATAAATTCTATGTTCTGATAGCACATGTTGATTTTTTTGCTGCAAATATGAATGATCCGATAAAATTTAATTAAATTTTTTGGTTTCGATGACCCGTTGGTCTATTTGCACCTATGGGAATTATTGATTATGGATTTTTAACCGAATAGTTACAAATAATTCTATGACATTTAACATTTCAGCTGGCTCAAAAGCTCTGGCACTCACTGTGTTATTATCACCACGGTAACGAGCAACCGGAATTGCTATGTGAAATCCGATTCAAATCGTGTCATCAGACAGGAATTCCATTTATAATATTAGAGCTCACCAAGTCTGTTTGAAATCAAATTTAGAAAACCACCGTTCAGAGATAATTATATGATTTCTTCTGCAAATTCTTTTTACAATATATCTACTGTGCAGATAAAACATTAAATGGGATTTTATTGAATTTGTTGCTAAGCGGCGCCAGTGGTGTAGTGGTAAGCGTGATTGCCTCTCACCCAGCAGGCCTGGGTTCAATCCCAGTCGGCGCCACCGGGATGTTCTGAGGCATAACATCTCTGATCACGCCTTCCTTCGGTATAACGGGGCCAGCTGGTCCAGACCCTGCCAGGCTGTCAGCTTCGCTATTTCCTGGGATACCGCAGTGCCCAGGGATCCAGGAAAACACCGTGTTCGGAGGTATGGCCTCCACAATACCCTGTATCCAGGGGTGAGTCAGGGTCTCAGATGTAAGGGCTTGTATCTCACTGTAAGAATCGGATAGCACCACTATGGGCTGGTCCGAGGGTGTTGTAACGGCAACAAAGATGAGAGAAAACCGAGCATTGTGGCGGTAGGCTGCTACTCATCGGTGCTGAAATTTCGGCTACTCCAATTCCGACTCCGGCTCGGTAAAGCGATCCATCCGTGTATTTGTGGGCATGGGTTGGGTAGTCCGAGCCTACACCGTTTGAAAAATTCATGTAAATTTCTGCGAGATATAGCGCACATATAATTAACGCTAGATTTGGCATACATTTACGTGATATTTCGTGTAATTTTAAGCGCAATATCGTATAAACGAGCAATATTGTATGCAAGCTTGTAAACGATTTCGCTGTTTATGCCAAGTATAGCTCAACATTAAGCGAAGGGAGATTTTACGCGATAGTTCTCCTCAGCGCTACAGAGTTATCTCCAGCCTTGAACCTGCTCTTGTCTCCGAACCAGTGGACCTTGGCAAATGGGGGGAGCTCTGAATTGGCAGCCATGCGGAGGAGTCTGTTCCCCTCATCGAGGAGAAAGATCCTGTCATTTCCGGAGGTCATTGTTGTAAAGGAAGGGGCTTTCGTTGCAATTGCTGCGGATATACGATGGGGGAAGGGCAGAATACCGGCGGGCGTTGACGGAAGAAGACTGGAGACAATCCAGACGTAGGTGTTGAAAGTTGGTGCTAGTATCTGCACGAGCTTTTCGGTGGCGATGCACGTCATCTCAAGACCGTACAGTAGACGACTATCAATGACGGCTATAGCAACCCGGAAACGAGTGTCACCATTGTTAGACCGGTGCGGGCGAAAGATCGTGCGGATCAAGTTGATCCTACTGCGGCAGTCGTTCTTGATCGCCTTATAGTGCCACTCGAAGTTGAGGGACCGGTCAATAAGTACCCCCAGAATACGGACCGTCTTCTTTAGTGGTATGAGCTGGCTTTGAACTTTGATAGGTGGCCCGCTGCTGCATGCCGCAATTTCTGCCAGGAGAATGCCTGGTTGATGTCCGAGTTTCCAGCGTCAGAAGAAACAGTGAAAAATGCGATGGATGACGTCGAAGGCTTAGCTTTCCGCTTGAATTCGTCTTCGTACTTCTCGATGGCTACGAGATCGGCAAAGTACGAGCCGAGTTCGTCCGCTAGAATTGCAGGGTCAGAAAACGCTTCACCGTTAATTTGTACGTGGAGCGGTGTCATGCGCCGCTTCCCACTGAGGGCGTTGACTTGCCTCCATAAGTCGACCGAAGACTGTGACGAATTCATTCCTTCCAGAAAGTCCATCCAGTTTGTTCGTTTGGCGACACGGATTTCTTGCCGGCATTGATTGTGCTACTCTTGGAAGTGGCGGAGAGCGTGCTCGCAACACCTTTTTCAACAATCTTAAGTCGCAAAGAGACTCCACCTTCTGCGCTTTTCAAGGTACAATGAAGTTTTATATGCGATGCGCTATCCATGATATAGACCTTCATTTAGTCACACTAACGTTGTTTTTACTCGCTGAGAAACAAATGGTGTTGCTTGGGTTGGAATCATTGTAATAAAATGAGTAAAGGTTACAAATCAAAACTAAAGCATTCATCATGCATCAAAAGTCAAGAGTTCTTCAGTGTACTTTCCTAAGCTGAGATTGTTTATTGGTGCTAATACTCTAATTCAAAAATATACCAAAGGGTGATTCAAATGTTCTGCAGCATCATGAAAATCGAGTAGATTTTTTTGTACACCTGCAACCAAAAATGAATAACAATTATATTATGTAGATGTCTAATGATCTTCAGCATTCTTCATTTTTACCGCCAGAAAAAGATTCATGTTGACAGTCATCATTCCTCCGCAGGACAACTTCAGCGATTGTTGCGACTTTTCGAGCATGAATTTCAACATCCTTTGATCGCCCTTTGCCATTGCATGCCATGATATGTTGTAGATTTTATCGGTGAATACGTCACTTTTGACATCGATCAGCGTACCCATCATGCAGCACAGGAAAAGTTGAAATGTCGATACGAGAATGACCAAATATCCGGGGAACCACATATCCTGCATTAAGAGACAACTTGGAATAGCTTTCATATTAATTTTGAGATTTAAAATACTTACAATGTGAAGCACAAAGAAGGTCATGATGATCTGCATAGCATTGCATGTTATTTCAACAAGCGTTTGAAAGGCATACAGTTTTTCAAGATCAGAGATGAAATTTACCAATCGTTGTTGGTATTGTATTATGTTGATTAAAACATCCCGTATTTGGCCATCCAACTTTCCATTCACGTTTTTGGCTATCAAATCGTCCAAATTCTGTAGCTTTAGCACCAAAACATCGTACTGAATACATATGTTGAACACCAAAGCGAAGTAGAAGTTCTGTGATGCGGTCAGTGCAGGGGGCGTCCATAGCATACAGCTAACCTGATACATGAAGTTCAGCTCATAGCCATCAGCCGTTTCGGGATTGACGAAAGGAATCAGGACACCGAATGGTAGAATCTTGTCGCCGTTCCACATGTAAACCACCAATGGAAGTAATCCGGCCAAGATGACGCCACCCAAAAAGATTACACCATAAAAGATAACGCAATGTTTCAGTACCGTGGTGTACTTGAGGATAACCAACCGTTCACTTCCGTCACTAGAAGCTTCTCGGTAAACCTGTTTCATTTTCCGTACCAAGTTACTTGCAGCGATCGGGTGACGCAACAAGATTTTCAGCCGTCCTACTCCAATTAAAGCGTAGAATATAGTAACCATAACAAATGTAAAGTTGAACACATCATCACGGAACAGGTACAGATCGATGAAGGAAATCACCATGAACAATCCGGCCAAGAATACGAAGAGAAACGTCAATGCGGTGAATCGGAATTCGGGCGAAAAGCCATCGCATCCGATAAGCTTCAGGATCAGATGCTGCCAGTTGAGAATGCGTTCGAAGCTCTCCAGTGGACTTTCGGACGATTTCATTTTGTTGGGTCTGCTGTGCTGGATGTGTAGATTGGAACTGATCTGGGTATGGATTCAAGTTGCTGTTGTATATGGGCAGAGAGCTTTTGGTTTCATGTGTGTTTAAACAGAATGTTTAATGAGCTTATGCTTAATTGGATGAAAACCTGGTTACAGGATCAAAGGGTCAATAATAAGTGGTATTGATTGCAGCTGCATGCTGGCTCATTATACTATCAACGTTATTGGCTCAATGGTTGATAGGGGAGTTTCTATTGATGATTGATTATGAAACAAAAAGTTCATCGATCGCAATAAAAAAATGGCATATCGTTCAATTGTGTAACTTAAAAAGGAAGTGTCTTGTAGGTTAAAAGGTCAACCGATATAGAAGGTAACATGTTGAAGCTACTGATAACCCAAAGGAAAAAAAAAGTCGGAATTTTGGAAGAAATTTTATTTAATAGTTATTATTTTAGCAACATCTCTTTACTGAAGAATACCATAAACTGAATATCTACACCCAACCGGGAATGTAATATTTGCAAATTTGATACCCAAAAATGTGAACTGTATTGATGAGTGATTTTTTTTTTTTATTTGTCGTCAATCAGTGTAGACCGTTTTACAATAGTTGCCTCTAGTGCTGTGTTTCACAATTTTGTCTTTGTTATACAAATTATAATATGTCTTGAAAACAAATTTAAAAAAAAACTACGAATAGCGGAAGTTACGCTAAGAATTAAAATATTGCTTTAATTTGGATTGTTTCATTGTAAGGTCAATGTCATCGCAGTGCTTATTGTATGTGTCGTGTGTAGTTTAAGAATAAGGGTCAGGCAGACAGACATAAATTCATCCAATTGGCTGATCAAGTTGTTAGAAGGAGATTATTACCTGTCCCAAGGAAATGAATAGGCAAATTTGTCCGTTTTTCCGTTTCTATCCGTTTTTGGATCTTCATACAGCGAATTGCTGTTGAAAATCAGAGGTTATTAAGCTTGATCAAGTTCAACAGTGAGGTGAGCTCACAGCAATCGGACTAGTTTCCGTGCTACAATGAGTGGTAGACCACTAACTTTATTTTTCCTTGGTTTTTTTTCGTTGATCTTGTTTTCCGTGAGCACCAATGCTATGTCACACCTGGACCCTACCTATTGACCCATCAACTCATGAACCGGGGACCAACGGCTTTACTTACGGAAGGCGTGATCAGAGATGTTATGCCTCAGAACATCCCGGTGGCGTCGACTAGGATTGAACCCAGGCCTGCTGGGGTGAGAAGTAATCACGCTCACCACTACACGACCGGTGCCGCTAAAGTAGACCACTATCATCATCATCAGTTCTAGTACACTAGCACCAGCACATCAGCACAGATTTTAACACCCCATAAAAGAGTACATTAGCCTTAAGTTTTCTCAAAGAAAAGAACACGATTTTAAAGTATAATGAGAGAGAGAGAGAAGGATTAGAAATTTCCATTTAATTCCACTATTTTATTTGCTTATCCTTGACAGATACGCGTATTTCGTCTACAATGTACAGACTTCTTCAGTGTCTTGTATTAATACTCGACTGAAGAAAAACATCGCATTTACCGAATATATATTAACACAGGTACATTCACTTAGAAACTAGGTATGTGTGTCCGTTTCTTTGATCCCTGTTGAGTGAAGTTGAATTACGGTGTTTGTTGATCTCGAGGCTCTCTGCAACATCTAATTTAATGGTGTAGATACGGTCCGTAAAATCGTGATGTCCTCCGTCGATAGTTGGTGGTCCTCTGTGAAGATGTGTTCTGCAACCTTTGATTTGAAATAATATGTTGGGCCTTTTTCCTCTTGCTTTTTGGCCTTATTAACTTCCGCTAAATCTAGTTGCTAAAGTTCTCTTGGTTTGTCCTACATATACTTTGTTACAATGATTACAGCCTATTTTACATACACCTGCTTTACCTAAAACATTAACTGGGTCTTTAGTGGATCCTAACAATGATTTCACCTGGTAATGTCTACTGGTGAAAACTAAATCTAATCCAAATTGTTTTAACTGTGGTCTTAGCGTACAAGCTATATCTTGATCAAATGGAACGGACACTCGTTTCCACGGTTCAGGTGCTGCGGTGAGGGTTGTAAATAATCTCCTTTGTAGAATTCTCACTTTTTTTTATCGATGATTGCCTGAATTGTGGTCTCCTTGTATCCGTTAAGTCTTACTGTTTCGAAGATGTACTGTAATTCCTTAACCTTTCCTGTATCCCTGAGTGGAAGAGTCTGCATTCAATGAATCATGTGGTGAAAGGCGGCCCTTTTCTGCTGGAACGAATGGTTGGTTGTTTCCTGTAAATTTCGTATTCAAGCGAGGAAGATGATGATGATTCCCTGATGAAGCCTAGTATACAAATCATGAAATTTCGCATGCGAAAAAGGTTGTGAAATAACGTGTGTGGAACATTTTCCAGTTTCCTTTTTTCGCAGTTTCCAGTTCATGTGAAACGAAATCGATCAGTTCACACCTCCGGTGAAGTGAAAATCTGACAGATACGCTCTCCCGAAACGTCAACTTTTCGCCTAGCTGCTGCTCTTTTCGCGAGCGCTGCATGCGCGAACACAGTTCAAAGCGAAGTGAAAAATTTTCCAATTGCGTTTTTTACGCAGGTAAAAAATTCAGTATTTTGTATGAGATTTTCGCTTCACTTCGATCTCTATACAGGCCTTGACTAGAAGATCGAGAAATGCGTCTTTTTCTACCTCGTGAGTGAATTTGATATCCTTGTAAATTCTGTTGATCTCATCTAAAATTTGTGGAAGAGCTCCCCGTTTAACTACGCTGAAGATATCGTCAACAAACCTCCACCAACGGTTATTAATAGTCCTTTGTCCTTCTGGATTGTCTCCAAGTTGGCCATGAAAAGTTCACACAAGAAGGGGGATAGGGGGTTTCCCATTGGAGCTCCTTTCGTCTGCTTGTAGAAGTTACCTCGGAAAGAGGAGTAGTTCTCTTCCATACAAAGGCGGGTCAGCTTAAGGTACGTCCGAACCTTGTTTCTCCATGCAGCATCCTCCTCATGATTTTAAAGAACAAAAAAAAAATAAAGCAGTGCTAACATTTCAAATGCTTTAGCCGTTTTTTTTTTCTCGCAAATAAAAACTTCTCCTTCCTCTCCCCAAATGTACACTGCTTGCTGTTAGAGGAAACAATCTTCTACCTGCTGATTTCAATAATTTTCATGTGTGATCTTTCATTCGCTAGAAATTGACGGTTGAAGCCATTATTTTTAAAACAATGACGCCCCTTTGAAATTTAGAAACTGAAATGAACTCCTTAAAGAGTACATGTTGAGTAGCTCGGTCGGTAAAGGCAAAGATAAAGCAAGACCATGGTGGAGGTAGCTGGGTTCGATTCTCAGTCCGATCTAGGGATTTTACCGGGCTAGATAATTGCTTCACTTTTATGGGTATGATTGTACTTGTCACACAATAATGGATATAGATTTTCAAGAAGCTCCGTTGGAGCGTCGTAGATTGAATCCACCTTCTTTGGGGGAATGATGTAAATGTTTTGCTGGCATTATGAACTATGGAGATCACCTGCAGAGTCCACAAATGGCCCCCATGATGGCTGATTTGCCCTATCACTTCAAGTTTTCCAGAGCACAAATCTCGGAGTTTCAGTTTAATTATTGTATGTTTCGTGAGATTCGATATTGGTGCTCGTAAATTCGGCGTGATTTAGAAGTTAAAAACACCTCCTTTTAGCGTTGGTTCAACCAGCATTAAGCTGTATAAATTTATTGCTATACGTTTAGTTTTTTTTCTTTGATTTGTTTTTTGTCGATTTACCGACACCAGGGAGGCAGCTCCCACATCTGGATTCTACATATCGACCCATCAACTCATGAACCGGGGACCAACGGCTTTACTTCCCTTCCGAAGGAAGGCGTGATCAGAGATGTTATGCCTCAGAACATCCCGGCGGCGCCGACTGGGATTGAACCCAGGCCTGATGATATGAGAGGCAATCACGCTTACCACTACACTACCGGCGCCGCTTATACGTTTAGTTCATAGATGAAGAATCTGTTAATTAAAGAACTTACATTTTAAGATATTTTTTAGACCTAAATTATGTATCATGTAGCAAACTCCCCTTCTCCATTCTACGATAGCTATAAACCTTAGGACAATTCAAACGTTCTGCAACATCATGAAAATCGTGTAGATTTTTTTGTAGATCTGCAAGCATACAATTAAAAGGTAAGCTCTCTAATAATCAACTGCATTTTTGTCGGCTTTACCGCCACAAACATATTCATGTTCACAGTCATAATTCTCCCACAGGATAACTTCTGCGATTGTTGCGACATTTCCAGCATGAATTTAAATATTTTTTTATCTTCCTTCGCCATGTTATGCCATGATATGTTGTAGATTTGATCGGTGAACACATCACTTTTGACATCGATCAGCGTCCCCAGCATGCACCACAGCAACAGTTGAAACGTTGACACGATAATGACCAAATATCCGGGGAACCACATATCCTGCATTAAGAGACAACATGGAATGGCTTTCCTGTAAATTTTAAATTTTAACATACTTACAATGTGAAGTACAAACAAAGTTATGATGATTTGGATAGCATTGCACGCGACTTCAACAAGCGTTTGAAAGGCGTACAGTTGTTCGAGATCAGAAATGAAATTCACCAATCGCTGCTGATATTGGATTATGTTGGTTAAACCCTCCCGTATCTTACCATTCAACTCCCCATCTCCATTTTTGGCTATCATCTCGTCCAAGTTCCGAACCTTCAGAACCAAAACATCGTACTGAATACATATGTTGAACGCCAAAGCGAAGTAGAAGTTCTGCGATGCGGTCAGTCCAGGGGGCGCCCAAAACATATAGCTAACCTGATATAGATAGTTCAGCTCATAGCCATCAGTCGTTTCGGGATTGATGAATGGAATCACGATGCCGAAGGGTAGAATCTTGTCCCCATTCCACAAATAAACTACCAACGGAAGTATCCCGGTCAGGGCAACTCCACCCATAAACATCACACTATAGAAAAGGACCGACCGTTTCAGTTGCCTGGTGTACTTGATGATAACCAACCGCTCACTTCCGTCAACGTAAGCTTCTCGGTAGACTTGTTTCATTTTCCATACTAAGTTGCATGCAGCGCTCGAATTAAACAATAAGATTCTCAGTCGTCCTACCCCAACTAACCAGTAGCAAATGGTAACCAAATCAAATGCAAAGTTGAACACATCATTTCTAAACAGGTACAAATCGGAAAACGAAACCACCATGAAGCACACGACCAAGCATATAGTAAAATAGGTTTGAGTATTGATTCGAAATTTGGGCGAGAAGCCATCGTATCCGAAAAGCTTCAGGATCAGATGCTGCCAGTGAAGAATTCGTTCGAAATTTTCCAGTGGGTTTTCGGAGGGTATCATTTTGCTAGGTCTGTTGTGCTGGATTTTTAGATTGGAACTGCTCTGGCGATGGGCCCAGGTGATGGGAATAGAACTCTTGATTCGTTGTGTATGTACAATCAGAATGTATAACGAGTTGAACGATGATAGATTACAGGATCAAAGAACCGATGATAAGTGGCTCTAATTGCAGCTTTAAATACCACCGTAATTGGCTTCAAACTGATTGAACTATCACTTCGTTAGAATACACAGGTATGTGTGTTTGATTGTAGTAATCAAATTGTCTAGGAAAATGGCATTCAGGGCATGCGAACATGCCACCATTCTTTAATCAAGCTAGCCATTCACTGCAATAGCTTTAATGAAGTCATTCTTACCAACCTATCTACCGAAGGCGATCTCCAGGGTTAAACTGCAATATGCCACTCGGGAGCCGAATCTATTTCGCTGTTCCAACCAATTTGCCCTTCCTTTCCGGATTCTGCATTCGTAAGCACAATAATAAAGCTAATACACACATACACCCTGACAGGACACCACACCCAAAAGTTGACGTGTTGCCTGCGAGTGCATGAAATCACGTCCCGGCAAAAATAGCACACCACACTGTGTTTGCGCAAGCAGCAGTGGAGCAGTTTGCTTTGCTAGCCCTGTCTGGCATGAAACACAAACAAAATTTCCCAAGTGCCACTAGTGCTACCATACTGCTTCCACCAACAACCACTGAATGTTTATATGAACCGTACATAAGTGGTGCGAAATGTGGGAAAGCAAATAATCCCAGAGGATATCACTCATTTTCAGTGAACGACGACTCCATTACCCGAAGGTTTCCATGGGTTTGCCCATCTCCGCCGTCGTCGTCGTCGTCGCTGTTAGCTTCTTGGGGGAAGTGTTTAGCCAACACGTACGTCCTGCCATACGATAGTGACGGGGTGCCCCATCCAGTCTCCGGAGATGAGCCGAATGAGCAATGCATCCTTGTCCAAGTGCGAGACGGTGCTTATTTATCATTTCAAGTCCGAGGACTGCTGATGCAACTGCATGGCTGCTGGGTTTGGAACGAAGATAATATTTCCCCGGGACACGACGGAACGGAAAACAGATTGCGCAGCATTTGGCTAGCCAGACTTGGCGTTCCGTTCGGGTACAAACAGATGGTATGGCCACCGCGGGGCTTCCGTTGTCGGTTTAATCAATGTCAAATTTCACTTCCGAACTGATAAATTACGAATTCTGACACTGGAGCTCATTTTTACGGCTGCAGTCACATGTGTTCTGATGTGAAGTACCATCAAAAAACTAGTCAGCAACAATCGTTACATAAATCACACTTTACGTTGACCTAACGTTCCAACAGCAGTAAAATCCATCATTCGTTACAACAGTAAAACATTCGAACATTTGTCGCCATAAAATTCCCCACCACTATCTGGGCAGCGACACACATTCTTCCCTGATTTCCCGACGCACGTGTGCAAGTCCGTAAATTATGGAAAAGCTCCTAATATCCCATCAATGTGATACATTACCGACACGTACACGTCCGCTCATTCATCCGTCCGTCGTCGCCGGCACGAGCATCCATTCAATGCATGTATGTAATCCAGTCGAACGATTTTCCGCTCCGTCCGCGTCCGGTACGTTTCCATAAATCATATTACTTTTTATTACCACTACCCTCTAATAAAATGAAATTTATCTCGTCAGCCCTCTGGTTTCCATTTCCGCCATCTCGGGCATTCGGTTGTCGTGAACTTTTCCATTTCCTTCACACATGGAAACCTCTAGAATAAAATTGTCACTTGCCGCGCACAAAACGACTAAGCCCGGTAACAAGCATTTGCACATGAGTGTCCTACCTACAAATGTTACGATTGTTTTTCTGTCATACCTACGCATTTTCGAGGACAGGTTTCTCCTACATATTCGGTTCAATATTGCGACGACCGAAACAGCTGAATGAACTCAACCGTGAAGGAAAATATGATAAGATGTTAACAAAATAGCACCTATCATTCGAACCGTAGCCGTTTACTTTGCCTTGCCTTTTTCCAGCAGCTCGGTCTGCTCGATCCTGGACATTTATGTGGGGGGGGGGGGGGGTTCCCTTGATTTAAGATGTAAATTTAAAACTTTAAGGTTCTCGAACAATGATGCCACATCTTTGGCCCTATTACGTCCCCACTGGGATTTTACTCTGGATCTCAACTTAGTGCTCTTTGAGCACTTCCACACCACAGCTGATAGCAATTGAACGATTTCTAAGCCTGTTCCATTTTGTTTTTGCATTATTGTGTGGCATGTACAATTATACCCAGGAGTGTGAAGCAATTATGCAACCCGGGAAAATCTCTAAACCGGACTGGGAATCGAATCCGGCTACCTTCACCATGGTCTTGCTTTATCTTCGCCTGAACCGTCTGAGCTACTCTACACGTTCTCTTTTAGGAGTTCATTTCAGTTTCTATCTTTCAAAGAGGCGTAATTGTTTTAAAAACAATGGCTTTAACCGTCAATTTCTCGCGAATGAAAGCTCATACATGAAAATTATTGATACCAAAAGGTAGAGGAAAGTTTCCTGTACCAGCAAGCAGTGCCCATTTAGGGGGAGGGGGAAGATGAGCTTTTCTTTGCGAAAAAAAAAACGACTAAAGCATTTGATCCGCTAAAGCTGTGGGCTCTCTTCACTGTTGAACTTGATCAAGCTTAATAACCTCTGATTGTCATCAGCAAATCGCTGTATGAAGATCCAAAAACGAATGGATGGATTGATAGAACATTTGCCTATTCATTTCATTGGGACAGCCAATTGGTCTGAAAACAAGCCATCTAACAGGAAGATGCCCCAATGGGGGAGAAGAGCCCACCCTTTATCCACGGAATGTTAGCAACAGGGAGTTGACATCTTCACTCTCCTCATACAAATCGCTTCCATTGGTGCCCTCGCGGTCCCTCATCATCCAGAATTTTTGATGTATAGTAATTGTCGCGGACAACGCGATGGTCCGAGATACCACTGCACAAGCGACAAAGAACAAACAGAAATCCAAACCTATTGTACCCACACGCCGCACATAATTGTATTTCGTTCTACACTCCACACAGCAGCAAAAAAACAAGCATCTACATCACCTAGGAATATCCTCCCGGCTCGATCACTCTCGATCGAGTCGGTAGGTATAAAAGTACCGGCACCAAATTTCACCACATCCAGTACAAAACAAACCATTATACGAATCACTTTATCCCGTTCAATATACAATTATTTCTAGAGCCGCGAGTTCATTTCTTTTCTCCTGACCGAAGCCAACCACAAGCCAATAAATCAGTCTTTTTCAAGACTAAAAGAGTTTGAACTTTCTGAATTTAACCCTGAACCAGTGACCATTTCCGGATAGTTTGCTCAGCCGTTGCCAGGCGTTGGAGCTCATCGAAGAGGATTCCCAGTGCGTGGACATCTTTTTGGTCCTTCGAAGCGGATAATTGTTCCGTTCGAAGTGGAATCAACTTCACACGTGCCGTCGCTTTGTTGCGACCTCACCGCTGCTGCTGCAGCATCATCACCGTTGTTCATTGTGAGCAATACAATCGATCGCCGATCGGACGGTGCACCTTTTCTGTGGTTTGGTCTGGAGGAGAAGATTTGGACTCTCGTCGCTTTGTCCGTGTACGCGATTGCCGAAAGTAGTATATCGCGTGTGTAAAGAACAATTATCGGAGATCGGAGACTGTGAAAACTCCGTAAAACCTAGAAAAGTGGACAATAAAAGAAAGCGCATTTGAACGCGCAAGTGCGTTAGTGGTTGGATTCGTTTCGTGGGTTTGATCGACAAAACCCACACCTCAACTGCTGCCGTTTCCAGGTTTGGGCGACAGAACCTGTGCCATCACGTTTCCAGGTTTGGGCGTCAGAACCTGTGCCATCCTCGTTTCCAGGTTTGGGCGTCAGAACCTGCGCCATCGATTGTGAGTTGGGTGCTTGGGTTGGCGTGTCGACTGGTGAGTACGCTACTAGAGTAAGCAAGTTTTTCGGATTTTTGATTGGAGGAGTGGACTGGCATCGATTTTTAAGAATCTGGCTTGGGTTGTGGTGGTAATTGGTGGTCTGTCTTTCACGTGACGATCTCAGCAGGCGATATGACGTCGCTTCGGGAACGGTCAAAGGCAGTGAGCGTCATTACGGACGCAATACAGACCATCGAGAACTTCGTCAATACTTACGATGCCGAGGTCGATCGAGACAAGATCGACTCTAGATTGAGTAGGCTAGATTTATTATATGATCGATTTACTAACGCTTCAATTGAGTTGGAATTGCTAATGGATGAAAAATCCGAAACAAAGGCTACGTTTATGAAGAGCCGCAATGAAATGGAGGACAAGTACTACAAGTTGCATGACTTCCTCACCGCAAATAAAGTGAACCGCCATGTTGCTGCTAATGCCTCTCAGGTTTCTACATCTGTAGTGCGCTTGCCAAAAATTGATTTGCCAACTTTTGATGGCGAGATAGACAATTGGATCCCATTTTATGATGCTTATCGCAGCTTAATCCACAACAATAAGGGTTTGGCTGCTGTAGATAAATTCCATTACTTAATGGCAGCACTCAAGGAACCCGTCAAGCAACTCCTTGATACGACTAGCATTACGGGAGATAATTACAGGATCGCTTGGGATTTACTGGTCAGTCGCTTCGATAACAAGCGCCTGCTAATTAAAAACCATATTAGCTCTCTTTTCGCTATTGAGCCTGTGAAAAAGGAATCTTCTGCTACCATATTGTGCCTGGCTGACCAATTCGAACGCCATGTAAAAATCCTAACAACGTTGGGGGAGCAGACAGAGCAATGGAGCTCCCTGCTCGTGCACATGGTGTGCAGTCGCTTGAATCAAAGCACTTTGAGGGAATGGGAACGGTCAACAGGTAACGATAAAGAGAAGGTTTCTACGTATGACGAGCTGATTACCTTTTTGAAAGATCAAGCTCGGATCTTGATGTCCTTGAACAGTGGAACCCTGGTACCCTCCCCTCTAAAAGATAAACCCCGTTTCTCTGTTGCTCACACTGCATCCGTTGCAAAATCATACTCACCAAAATCCTTCAGCTGTATCGTGTGCAACCAACCGCATCGGATTTACGATTGCGAGGTGTTCAAACGGATGTCAATCGAACAGAAGCAAGACACCATCCGCAAGAAGAAGCTATGCTGGAATTGCTTATCATCGAGTCATCTCAGCCGTGACTGCTCCTCCAAACCCTGTCGGAAGTGCAACGAAAAACACCACACACTTTTGCATTCTTCCTCCCCCAACGATCGTTACACCCAACCCCAAGTCAAACCACCTACTGGAAATCTAAAATCCACCACCTACACCGGAAGCGGAGCCGTTGTTCCGGCATCGTTGTCCACTCCAATTCCACCATCACCACTCACCTCGTCTGCCACCCACCAACCTCTCACCAACGCATTAGCTGCAGCAAGCTCTTCCACCACCACCTACTCAACTGTTCTGTTATCCACCGCCGTGGTAAAGGTCCACGGCCTGTCGGGGAGATCTACATTTGTTCGAACCCTGTTGGACTCCTGCTCCGAGTCAAACTTCATCACCGAAAGAATCGTTCAGCTTTTGGGATTGAACCGACGAAAGCAAGCTGCAATTATCGCTGGAATGGGTGGCTCTACTGTCAGCAGTACTTACTGCACCGTAGCAGATTTCAGTTCTGTTAATTCCACCTACTCTAACACACTGACGTTCAGGATCCTCTCCAAGATCACCAACGATCTGCCCTCTCGGGCAATCGACATTTCGCAATGGAACCTCCCTCCTGAGGTAATCTTGGCAGACCCAGATTTTGCTTCGCCGCAAAGGATCGATATGGTTATCGGTGCTCAACTGTTCTTCAGCCTTCTGCAGGAAGGACAGATCCCAGTAAATGCTGGTCCTTCTGAACACCAGCCTATTCTCCAACGTACCGTGCTCGGATGGGTAGTAAGTGGACCTGTTTCCATCGATACCGCTACCCAAGGACCTGAGCGAGTCGCTCTGTTGTGTACCACCGATGACTTGGACCAACAACTGACTCGATTCTGGGAAGTCGAGAGTTGCCCTCAAAGCCGTGGACTGTCTAAGGAAGAATTAGCTTGCGAGATGTACTTTTCCGAAACCACCACCCGCGACGAATCAGGCCGATTCGTTGTACGCCTGCCGAAGAAAGAGCACGTCTTGAGTCAACTTGGTGATTCCGAGATCGGTGCCCTTCGCAGATTTCAATGGATGCAACGGCGACTCAGCAAGAACCCCGATTTGAAGGCCCAGTATGTAGACTTCATGGCAGAGTACATAGAACTTGGCCATATGGTTCCCGTAGACCCATTACAAGACAAAACCCATACCTGCTCGTTCTATCTTCCCCATCACGCCGTGCTCAAGCCGAGCAGCACTACCACTAAGTGCAGAGTGGTTTTCGATGGGTCCAGCAAGTCTTCTACGGGAATCTCTCTCAATGACTGCCTCATGGTGGGGCCGACTGTTCAGGACACATTATACGCTATCGTCATCAGATTCTGCATGTACGAGGTGGCTTTAGTTGCAGATGTAACCAAGATGTATCGCCAGATGTGGGTACATCCTGACGATAGGCGTCTTCAGCTCGTGTACTGGCAAAGCAGGACTGATTCACACGTCCATCCCTACGAGCTGACCACGGTAACATACGGCACCGCATGTGCGCCGTATCTAGCTACTCGGTGTCTACAGCAATTGTCCTATGATCACTCGGTGAGCGAAACCGATACTGCAGCACGAATCGGTAAGGATTTCTACGTGGACGATTTCCTCAGCGGTGCTGACACTGTGGAAGAAGCAACTCAGCTGCGTTCTGGAGTGCAGAGCATCCTCGCGTCCGCAGGGTTCGAACTTCGAAAGTGGTCGTCGAATTCGTCCGAAGTGTTGTCACACATCCCGGACAACCTGAAGGATGATAGGCCAATTGTCGCAGTTGATGACATCCAAGGCTCCGTCAGCACACTCGGTCTGCTGTGGCACCCTGAATCGGATACCTTCCGGTTCAAAGTTCCTGAGCGATTCTCTGATAATCCGATCACGAAACGAATCGTGGTCTCCGAGATGTCCAAACTCTTCGACCCATTGGGTATCTTGGGTCCGGTGATCATCACAGCCAAAGTGTTTGTCCAACAACTTTGGAAGTTGAAACTAAGCTGGGACGAAGAGCTTTCCAATGCACTCTGTACCGTGTGGGAAGACTACAGACTTGGTCTGGCTGCTCTAGGAACATTTTCCATCTCTCGTTTGGTCAAAGCTCCAGGCGCCGGAGACAACGTGCAACTTCATGGGTTTTGCGATGCATCCCAAAATGCTTACGGAGCTTGCATCTACTTGAGAAGTGTCGGAAGAAGTGGTGTCGTCACAACCCGTCTCCTAACCGCCAAATCCCGAGTATCTCCTATCCAAACCTTATCAATTCCCCGGCTAGAGCTCTGCTCTGCTGTCCTCCTCAGCCAACTGTACCAAACTGTTATGTTAAGCCTCAACATAAATGCTAATGCTTATTTTTGGTCTGACTCTTCAATCACTCTCCATTGGCTGTACAACCCACCGTCCAACTACAACACTTTCGTGGCAAATCGTGTCGCGGAGGTGCAGCGACTCACTGAAGGAGGCACTTGGAATCACGTCGCCGGTCTGGAGAACCCGGCCGATCTCATCTCGAGGGGTGTCGATCCCTGCGAGCTCGTCAACAACGCACTATGGTGGAAGGGTCCACCGTGGTTAACGTCCGATCCAGCGGAGTGGCCAAGTATGTTTCCAGTCCAAGACGCCTGTGAATTTCCTCCCGAAGTTCTCGAGGTGAAGCTTCGTACGCTTGCAGCCGTCACTCGATCCACCGAAGCTCCCGACCGCACACTGTTCACCCGCTACTCGTCACTAACGAGACTCACCCGCATCGCTGCATATTGCCGCAGATTTGTGCGGTACTGTCGGGCCAATCTCGCTGGATTCCACCTACAAGCTATTCCATACCTTACCTCAGCAGAACTCCTTCAAGCACAAGAAGGCCTTGTGAAAGTTGTGCAAAATGAGTGCTTCAGCCAAGAAATCGCTATGCTTCAGGCCAGATGCGAAGCGGATCTCAAGAAATCCCCATTACGTACCTTGAATCCCTTCATCCACGATGATGTACTTCTGGTCGGTGGCCGGCTGAACCACTCTTCATATTCGTTCACGCGCAAGCATCCAATGCTTTTGCCTGCAGCGCATCCGTTCACTTCACTGCTCGTTGATTCGGTGCACAAGCAGCTTCTCCACGCTGGACCGCGTGCGATGATCGCACACATCCGTGAACAATATTGGCCATTAAACCTCCGTAACCTGGCACGGAGACACGTCAAATCCTGCTTGCGTTGTTACCGCACACGACCACAAGCAGAACACCAGCTGATGGGCCAACTTCCGAAAGTTCGCATCACTCCGGCCCGTGCGTTCCTCAACACGGGCGTTGACTTCTGTGGTCCCGTTTGGCTGAAGGTACCAGTACGTCGAACGAAACCAGCTCCACCGATCCGAGCATACGTCGCTGTATTCGTATGTATGGCTACGAAGGCCGTACACCTCGAATTGGTTGGCGATCTCAGCTCCGAAGCCTTCATCGCAACGTTGAAACGGTTCGTTGCACGGCGAGGCAAGCCAATCGCCCTGTTCTGTGACAATGCCACCAACTTCAAGGGCGCAGACAGGGAACTCCGAGACCTCTGCAAGCAACTCAACGACCAACAACTACGACTGAAGATAGCATCGTTCTGCGCTGAATCATCCATCCAGTTCAACTTCATCCCCGCGAACGCTCCGACATTCGGCGGCCTTTGGGAGGCCGCAGTCAAGGCTTTCAAGCATCACTTTCGGCGAGTCGTCGGCTTGGAATCCCTGTCAAGCGATGTAATGTGTACCATCCTCTGCCAGATAGAGAGCTGTCTCAACTCTCGGCCACTGACCGCCCTATCTGAAGACCCAAGTGACACGGAAGCTCTCACACCGGGACACTTTCTGGTCGGATCAGCTCTCCAATCAATCCCGAAGCCCGACTTTGCCCAAGTTCCCAACAACCGGCTTTCGCTTTGGCAGGAGGTGCAGCGCAGAACCCAAACCTTTTGGAAACTCTGGTCGGCGGACTACCTTCATCAACTACAGCAGCGTTCGAAACACTACTACCGGCAGCCGAATGTTCTGGTCGGCAAGCTGGTACTCCTGAAGGACGACAACCTACCACCGCTCAGGTGGAGCATGGGTCGAATCGAAACCGTCCATCCCGGTGCGGATGGCCTCGTCCGTGTGGTGACCGTCAGACTGGCATCCGGCGCAGTCTTTGACCGACCGATCGTGAAGATCTGCCTGCTTCCCATCGACGATGACGCAAGATCCACCTCCACTTCCGGCGAAGTGCCTGGTGACCCTGACGACAATGCAGCGCCCGCTGCCAACCCAGATGATTGATTGTGAAGTATTAGTTAAGAAGTGAATTTATTGTTAAATTTAATGAAACACATTTTTCATGGTGGCCGGTATGTCGCGGACAACGCGATGGTCCGAGATACCACTGCACAAGCGACAAAGAACAAACAGAAATCCAAACCTATTGTACCCACACGCCGCACATAATTGTATTTCGTTCTACACTCCACACAGCAGCAAAAAAACAAGCATCTACATCACCTAGGAATATCCTCCCGGCTCGATCACTCTCGATCGAGTCGGTAGGTATAAAAGTACCGGCACCAAATTTCACCACATCCAGTACAAAACAAACCATTATACGAATCACTTTATCCCGTTCAATATACAATTATTTCTAGAGCCGCGAGTTCATTTCTTTTCTCCTGACCGAAGCCAACCACAAGCCAATAAATCAGTCTTTTTCAAGACTAAAAGAGTTTGAACTTTCTGAATTTAACCCTGAACCAGTGACCATTTCCGGATAGTTTGCTCAGCCGTTGCCAGGCGTTGGAGCTCATCGAAGAGGATTCCCAGTGCGTGGACAGTAATATTTAATAAAATCATCCGATAATCAGAAGCATAACGTCTAGAAAAATATGATTTGATATGAAATTTATGATTTTGTGACAAGCAATGTAACAAGGACTAAGATGTGTTCCATAACTGAAAAATGCTATTCCCCAAATTGAAAGTAGTCAGGACTAGGAATCGGTGGTAGATCTTAAACCCCGTAACGTACCACGAAAAGGAGATCCACCCACGTTACGGGGCAGCTAGGACCGTTAGTTTATAATTACTTCCGGAGTACCAGGGTCCGATCCTGGATGGTGGCTACTGTCCTCAGATTTATGTTTTGTTTGCATTATGATATTCACCTCAGTTGAACATGCATGTTCTTACGTACCGCAGGATATAGTAGCTTCGAATATATCATTTCCAGTCATAATCCAGAATTTACGGAACCAGATACTGGAGGCATTGGAACAGATGGAACATGTGACAATGAAATTATCTGAAATAATCGTTCATGGCCATATCCTATGATTTGATATGCAGTATGATTCATTTGCCTCAAATATGACTGTGACCTAAAGAAGTGGGCTTCAGGATCACAGGAACCGATGTCAATATGGCCATGTGTCACAGGGTTCATCTCAAACTGTTTTCATTAGGCATATCTACTTGTTTGTCGTGATTGGCACCACCACATGATATGGTTTATGGTTATGTGTCACTTCATAAATATGATTATACCATACCTTATCGTATTGCGGAATCTATGAAATGGAATTCCGGAATCCCGGAACCGATGCCAATGTGACCATATGCCAAAGGAATTACCACAAATAATCTTTATTGACCTTATCTTATCATGCTAACATGATTTGTTATGCAACATGATTATTATACCGCGAATGTTACTGTGGGGTATAAAACCGGATTCCACGGATTTTCCGGAACCGATGCCAATGTGTCCATATGTCATCAGATACACTACAACCTGATTTCAGTGATCATAGCTTGTCATTTTGGCATAATATGATATCATAACCTCAATGAAATTATATTCCAACAAACCGTTTGCCGGAATTCACAGATCCGCATTCCGGAACCGATGCCAAACTGTCCAACATCATCTCAAATCATCTTCATTCACTTGATTCCACCTATTTGACATGATTTGACATGCCACAAGATATTTTTGCCTGAGATATTACTATGTCCTACAGAATCGATTTCCGGGACTCCGCCCAAGCAACACGGCTTGTCATAATGAAGTTGAAAATACTTTTCAATGACTTACGTATAGAATCAATAATACTTTAATTTACATCATAAAAACCAGCGGCAAAAAATTAAAAAAAATTGAGCATGGGATTCGAACACTGGCCCTTGGCGTGAAAGACTTGCTACTTCCTAACTAGACCAACTCCGCTTGATAAAAGTTTTATAATAAGTATCTATCATGTTCTTGCCAATGGCATGAAAATTATATTCTTGTGCTTCGATCCGTCATAAAGAAGTTTTGTAAGCTGCAATGCGTACATTTAATTGCCAAAGTATTTTCAATAACTTTTAAGACATCCTGCACCTTTTCAGTTGCATTAATTTTTTTTTTGTTTATTAATTTATTTGATAAGGCTCAACCGATATAACTTTACAGAGCCGAGGATTCTTGGTCACTATACAATACATCTTAAAACTATAGTCAAAAGGTACAACACAATAAACACTTTATCTTCCACTATCCAAAAAGCCTCCTCCATCAGAACTAGAGCCACTTCCAGTAGTTTCATTGTATGGCAAATTGTTGTACGCCAACGAGGGTCAGAGCGCGTCCATTGCAACAATGGACGCAAAACGTGGTCAGAACTCACACACTCATCACGAAACGGTTGCTTCCCAAAGTCGACGACGCATCGACCGAAAGAACTGCTGATGAAGAACAATGAGGAGGACCACACAATGGTTGCTGCCGAGAAAACAGACGATCGCGTGACACACATCGAAAGTGGTCTGTTTCTGTCGACAGCCGAGTGAACACTGGGCATTAATTTATGAGATGTCATAAAAGAGTGTTTTCAACTCTCTTTATAACAAACCTCCGAAAACCTCATAAGAAACTGTCAATCACTGCGTGAAGTGACAGTCCGGCCCACGTCCACGTAAATCTGGAAACTGCAGAATCTCTTCAAGAGTTTTATAAATTCAACCAAGATTGATTTTGCATACGTCAAGTTTTATAGCGGTATTAAAAGAGTAGGATGCACGTTTAAATAACATTTAAAGTTAAAAGCAAAAGAAAACTATTTTGGAAAATGTTTAATTCTAGGAAGTATGAAGAAAACATCTTTAAAACTCCTATAAACCATGGGATGATTTATGCATCACTTATAATACATTAATACAACAAGTCGCTTTCAGAAAGATATTTTGTGTGTTACTTGGGCGGGTACCGATAATATCGTAGCCATACGTTATGGAAATATCTAAATTCAGTCTTACTAATCATATTTCATCTATCTGATATCATTTTCTGCACCAGACAACCGATTCGAGTGAAAATTTAAAACTAAACGGATTTTAAAAGTACAAAAAACACAGACATATTTGCATCTCCCAAGAACGATGAGGGTTCTACGGGGGTGGTACCTATGACAAAAGTTAGTTCAACTATTCCTCTTAAATAAAAACCAAAGCTTATGAAAATCGGATGAGGCATTGCTGAGAACGAGTTTGTTGAAAGAAATTCGTTCGTCCTGGTACTTTACGGGTTAGTTAGTATTGTCGCATTAATGATCCTTCGCTCAATTTAAACTTCTGTCCAATCTTCACAGTGCCGCACTCTAGCGGAAATGTTAATCTATATTCATCAGAGCTTTCTATAGCTAATAAATTATTGCACTAAAGCTTCATGTTGATATTATTATAGCATTTCCTCCCAACTCTGAAAATATAGAACGTAAAACAGTAATTAGCGCTCTTCTTTAAGATTACATGAGCATGAGCATGATTGACCGCCCACGGTTGCTACTCTGTTATTGCCAGACCAGCTGTAATTACACAGAGAACCAATAGACGATGCTTGGGACTAGCAATCATCCTCAATGTGTAAAAACTGGTGATCTCGAATTAGGCAATACCAGCGCCAGCCGCGCCTGAACGCAGGTCAAGAAAGGAATGGGTAGGACTGTGTTGACGTGACACTCGCTTTGATGGAAACCGAGGAGTCCTCTGCAGTCCATAATCCACGAGGAATCACAGGGATGTTGGGTAAGAGGGTTGGGTTTGCAGCAGGCTTCGTTTTAATAAGCGATAAGCTGAATTGATGTCCTAACGATCGTATAACGCGAAGGAGCTTGGGATTGAACCCACAGTCTTCTGCTCAGTAAGCAAAAACGTTTGCCACTAGGCAGACGAGCTCCTTTTTAATCATTGACGAATCTTGAATGTGGATGGGCTTGAGATTAGACTCATGATGTTCTGCTCAGTAAGCAAAAACGGTTGCTCTAAGGCCACCGAGCCTCTCATATCACATTAAAGCGTTACTCAAGTTTTTATAACTTTTTTTTTAAACTTTATTTGAGAGATTATTTCAGTTTTTATAACTATTCAAACCCGGCACCGACGACAACGAAAAGTTTTACAAAATACACGATAAACAAGCGATATTTTAAAATTTTTAATATGCAAGGATCTGGGACCGCGTTTTTCTCCTCAGTAAGCAAGCCACTGCAACCGACGATCTTTGAAATCCTAAAACTAAAAGCTACGAAAGAGTACTTAGGCCTTGATTAAGATCCACTTTCACGCGACGTTCAATGTTTCGATTTTCTCTTTACGCATAGTTCAGACAATCATAACTAGCTATGACCAACGTGACGATTGTTTAAGATCTGGTTAAACAAGCTATTCAAATGAAATTACGTTCTCAAATTTCACTTGGAATGTAATGAACGACAGAAATATGCGATAATTCATATTTTCAGCGGTTGATGTTTAATTTTAAATATACTAACGGTACTGCCTACGACTACGACGGCGATTACGACAGCGACTACGACGGCGCCTACGACAACGACAACAGAGAATTTGTATCTTACCATTTGTCTAGGATAAAAACCTATGCCCGGCACCTCCACTGGTTCTTCATGTCCGCTATCTGTCACTGTTTGCAAAATATCTAATAGCAATTACCTTTGTTGTGATACTTCCTGTATTGCCATGGTCATCTGGGAGGAGGGTCGCATCTAGTGCTTTCCCCAGGAACCGTTCACGGCCACCAGCTACCGCCCGTCCAGACTTGGGCATATCCAGCGAGACATCCTTCAGCTAACTTACAATCTCCGACACTCAATGCAAATCGCATGCACACTTACTCTAGTAACAAAAAAAAAAAAAAAAAAAAAAAAAAAACAAAAAAAAAAAAAAAAAAAAAAAAAGAACTCCCGTCCAAAGAAATGGATCCAATAAACGTCACTCTTGCGAAAGCACACCCG